TGAAAATTTAAGGACCAAAATGTTACTAACGGAAATTTGAAAGGCTGAATCACAAATAAAAACAAACCAAAACTAATATCGAATATATTAAACAATATAGGAACTGGAAATGAAAATAAACCTTAAACAACATTGGGGACCAAAATAAACTCAATCAGAAACATGAAGGATTAAATACTAATTAAACCCTAAACATTCATACCAGATCAGTGACCAAAATAAAATATGCATAAATCTTAGGGCCAAATTCGAATATCATCAAACATAGCATAATATATAAACTAGTGACTTAAATAAAAATATTGAAAAATAGATGCTCGAAATACAACATCACAAATTTCATTAATGGCTAAAACACCAAGTTACTGACGATGAGGGACCTAAACTATAATTAACCCACACACTGAAAGCCCTTCCTCAGAACGACGTCGTTTCGTATTATATATATATATATATATATATAACAAACAAATGCCAAAACAAGTAATATTCCTCATTTGCTCGTTTTCATCCAACCCAGATGAGACAGAGAGAACCAGACTCTCTCAACTTCCCCTCGTCGGGAAAGAAAGAGATTGCCGCCGCCGGTGGAGCTCACGGCAGTTCACGGCGGCCGAAGAGCACTAACCAACCCAAAATGCTCCTCCTTTCACCCTCAACTCATACCCTAAACTAGTTTAGCCTAAAAACATTCCTAGAGCCCTAGATTTAAGTCTTTATCTTCAAAAAAAACGTGGAACTCCGACGACCCCTTGGCTTCCCGACGTTCCTCCGACCAAAGTAAGTTTATCTTCTTTCTTCTTTTGGTTTCTTGCTTTAGTTTTTTTCCTTTTGATTCTCTCTGATTTTTTTCAGTTTTTTTCTTCTTCTGTTTTGAAAAAATCTCTCGGGTTTTCTTTTGGTTCCCCAATATTTCTGAATATCTCTCCCCTCCTCCCTTGACATCTTCTCTTGCATGTGATATATTGAGGTTAATCCCCTCGGGATATCATTGTACCACATTTCTCTTTCTCTGACTGGTTTAGCTTATTGATGATTGAAAAGTTGATTGATGGTTGTCACTGTGTTGGTGCTGGCGACCGACTGAGACAACTCTGGCAGGAGCAACAGCGATGGCGGCGACAACAACTACCTAGGGTTATGATGAAACCCTAGGTAAGTCAGGTCGGGTCAGATGAAAAGGAACGAATCATGGGCCTCAGGTATGCTGGGTCGGGTCGGATTCCAGTTGGGTCTGGGTTGAGTTGTAACCGGGTTGGTTGGGGTAATTGTTATAATTGGGCTTGTATGTTGTCTGCTATTGGGCTCCAAGTGACCTGCAAAAATATGTAAACAAAATAATTATTAATAGTAGTAGTAGTAATAATAATAATAATAATAGATAATATTTTTTAGATCCGGACAAAAAAGGGTGTTTACAGTAAGAACACGCGGCAAATTATTTAAAATTATAGATTTTGACTGACAATTTAACACAGCTTCGCTAACTTTTGAGATGGGAATAGTCATAACATTTGCGAATGAAACCTTATCCGACCCAAAATAAGGAATAGAGTTAGTTACAATACATGCATCAGGGGTTAAATGGGTGGTGGCTTCAGAGTGTGGATACCGAGCCACATCTCTATACCCATAAACACCAAATCCATCAGAAATAGTAGTACTATTTACATCATTTAATTCTGAGTTTACCACATGCATTGAGTCCTCATTTTGCATCATCATTGAATTTTTCGACACCTCTATTAGAGTGATATAAAGGAAACATTGCTTGAGGGCGAAAGCCTTGATTATGAAGTCTTAACGAAAAGCCTTGATTATGAAGTCTTAACGAAAAGCCTTGATCTTGAAGAATTTTTGGTAAAGAATTTGGTGAACCACCGATTGTAACTCTATAGGTGTTGTTGTGCACAGCTACCTGATTACCATAGTTAGTGTAAACACCTTGATCAGAATACACTTGACCTATTGTATTACCATATGGACTTTGTGAATTTTACCTAATCACGGTCCCTTCATGAACCGGTCTTTGAGCTATATTAATCGAAACAAATTGACTCAAGAATTCTTGTTGTCGAGTTTCCGTATCAAGAAGAACATCACACACACCATCAATCCTATAGGGCTGCTGACTTGAGATTATGACAGCTACTATCGATTCATATTCCGACGGTAGCTTAGAAAGAATTGCAGAAATGTGCATGATTTCAGTTAGCGAATTTTCACAGGCGACAAGACTATCGCATATAGTTTGAATTTGAACTAAATAGTCCTTCATCCTCTAATCTATCTTTCGAAGACTCTTCAAAGAGAAAAGAAGATGAATTGTCTTTGTAGTTGAAGAAACCGAGAAAAGATGTTGAATTCTTTCCCAAATATCCAACGCAGTTTTACAACTCACTAAAGACGACAATATCGATGAACTAATGGAAGAAAGAAGCCAAGAACATAGAGCATTGTCTTATTGCTTATGTGACTTACTCACAATTAACATCCTTAGAACCTTTATTAAAAACATACTGCGGTGGCACAACAAGAGTTCCGTTCCGTCAACATGGTTGACAAGAGCTAAGCTTTCTATGGCAAACAATACTGGTTGCCTCCATAATAGATAGTTTGAATCATTAAGCCTAACGGATATAGTCTTGTTTGTAAAAGGCTTTGTCACAGTGTTTCCTTTCGCCATTCTTGGAAAAGACCTCTGATGCCATGAAAGATTATGAACAAATCTTGAAAAGAAACCCCAAAAACATCATACTTTCTTCTGAACAATTAAATAGTTTTCTATACGTGAACAACAAACTTAGTAACCGAATAACTAAACTTTGTAACTGAATAACTAATCTTGAACAATGAATCATTACTCTTAACACATCAGCAACGACCATCTACACTTGACTTCCAAATCCAATGACCACAAAGACTATCGACTCAGTCAAGTTGATCCGAACCGACGACATGTTCCGACCTGACGGTGTTATTCTCGAGATCCAACAACTTATCATTCCTCGTTCTGTTATGGAAGACTTCAACAACTGACGTAATTTGCGGGCAATATCTGCCGACTTACCCGAAGTGGATCCTCGTACCAACAAATTGAAGAAGCCAGTTCCGATGGTAGTTAGAGAATTGCCGGTACTCCCAATCTACGACACGATGGCTCCATATCCATCCCTAGCGTCAGCGCCGGCTCCGGGACCGACGGAGAGCACCATCATTTCGATGACAAGAGCCAAGTCAAGGATTTCATCCAAACTTTATTACATTACGACGGGTATAACGAAATGGCTGATATTCTAGTGAATTTGACTTCCTTAGCGACGGAAATAGGGAGATTGGTTTCCGAAGGATATTTAATAACAATGTTAGCTCCAAACGATGAAGCCATGGCAAAGCTCACTACAGATCAGCTGAGCAAACCAGAGGCTCTGGAACAGAATATCTATTATCACATCATCCCCGAATATCAGACGGATGAGAGTATGTACAATGCGGTGAGAAAGTTTGGGAAAGTCCGATATGACACCCTCCGTTTGCCGCATAAAGTGGTGGGTGAAGAAGCTGACGGGTCAGTGAAAATCGGACATGGTGAGGGTTCGACTTATTTGTTTGACCCTGATATTTATCGATGGCCGGATTTCGGTGCAGGGGTTGATGGAGTCTTATTCCCGGAAGAAGAGAGTGAGAGTGTTAGGAAACCGACAGTTGTTAAGGTTGCCTCAAAGCAGAGGCGAGGTATGTTGTTTTTCTTCTACCACATTGGAATACCCCATCACCGCAACTTTATTACCAAATATAACCAAGGGTAAATTAGTTATCTACTCCTCCAACTATTCGTTCATATCTAGTTATCCAACATTTTTCTTAAATCACACCTAACGTTACGTTTTGTTTTATTTTGGTCATTTATTGATAAAAATTTAACGATGATATCAACATGTCACCATAAGTTAATGTCATATCATTATTAAAAAAAATAAAAAATGATATGTTAGTAGTTTTGTTAATTTTTTAACAACCTATTATCAAAATTAAATCAAAATATAATGTTATGAATGATTTTGAAAAAAATAATTAGATAACCTAAATAAAATCATACTAATAATTGAATGATTAAATACATAATTTATTCTATAACGAATTCTCATGTCTTACTATTTTATCATTTGGGAGAAGCTTTTCAAAGTCAATTGGCAAGATTTATGGTCTAATTTGTTAATTATTATCTTATTTTACATTTTTGGAAAATTATCTATTTTCTCACATTCATTTGATTTTAAAATATTAAATTTGTTAATAACAAGTATCATAGAATCCATAGTTAATAACAAGTATTATAGAAGTGTAATTTGTATGTTCCAAGTTCACTTGAGGCTAATTCTATTATTAAGTGATATTTTATGATTTTAAAATATTAAATTTGTTAATATATGATTATTTATATTTAAGTTCCAAAATTCTTGAAAAGTTATAATTTAATCCTTAATTAATAATCACCTCCGATAATTTTCAATAATGGTGATTATTGTATGTTATGATGACCTAATATACTCATTTATATGGTAGATTGTTGAGAGAGAGAGAGGATGAAGCTATTTTGGCCCTTTGTTGGCTCCAACATCCAAAAACTCCGTACAATTGGTCTAATTGAAGAATATGATCTAATTGTAGCTCAGTTCCATATTATTTATTAACCAATAAAAACACACACACATCTTACAGCTGTTTGAATCCGAATTCTCTAAAAAGAACAACATCCTCTTTTATCATTAAGACCACTCAATAAAGTTACAATTAATAAAAGGAAAACAAGAAAATGGTTTTTTATTATTATATTTATAGTGTAAAAATGGATGAACAAGAAAAGGAGGCAATGCAGCAGGGATTTCAAGAAGAAGAAAAAATGTACAAACATTTTCAGGAACATCAAGGAAACTCAAATAGATTGGGTCCTGATGAATTAATGAATGGAATGATGAGCCTCAAACTTTTATGTGTTTTGGGGCAGCAAAACCAAAAAAAAAAAACAAAAGAATAAACCACTAAATTAGAAGGCCCTAAACGATTGTATTTCGTCGACTATGTGCCAATCCCTCTAACCCCATTGGTTAGAAGTGTCATCTTACCAAATTCAGGGTTCCCTTTCTGCATCATCGCCACAAATTCATTGTAATCTATCCGACCATCCTGCAAAAAGACAACAAAATCAGTCCTGCTGCATACATGCAAATGATAAATAAGCATCATGCGTAAATTTCGACTTACGTTGTCCGTGTCGACTTCTCCGATCATTTCATCCAAGTGGATCTCCTCGATACCAAACTCCTGACAAGCTTTCTGGAGCTCATCTTGAGTAATGTAGCCACTGCCATCTTTGTCAAAATACGAGAAGGCGGCCATGAGATTGTCTTCCCTTTCGATCTTGTTTAGATGCAATGTTGCAGCTACGAATTCTTCGTAGTCGATCGTGCCATTATTGTTAACGTCCGCCTGTGTTTCCAGAGCAAACAGAAAGGATCAAATTAGGTTAGTTAGATGTGTAGAAACGACCTATGAATATACATCATGATCTTGATAACTGAAATGGAACTTACGGCCTTCATTAGAGCATGGAATTCAGACTCATCAAGATCAGCACCAAATTTCTTCAATCCAACTTTGAGCTCATCATATGTGATTTGTCCACTGCTATCTGCGTCTATCATCTTGAACATTTCCTTCAGCCCAGCTATTTCTTCTTCAGAAAGTCTCTGGGCAATGACCTGAAAAAAAATGAAAAGGAGCTAAGACCAAAGTTTTATAGACCAAAGTTGTTTCAGAGGCAAAAGCTTACCTTTAAGGCCATTTTCTTTAGCTTGTTCATTGCAGAAAATTGCTTCATACGGCTCAAGACTACCGAATCAAGTGGCTTGTCCGGAGCCACCCCATCGACCTGTACCCAAGGATGGCCTGAAAGGAACCAGAATGAAATCAGCAAATTCCTGAAACTCCATAGTGAAACACCAAAGAGAGTCATCTAGTTAAACTAAGTCTTGTAATACTATGCCATGGCAATTGTGAGCAAGGATGCTGATTGGAATTAGCAATAAATGAAATTAATGCCTGCTAGATGATCCTAAAGGTGTTAGTAATCAACAAAGTACATGAGAAAGGTCGAAAAACGAACATCGACTGAGAATTAAAACAAGCCTCAACCATGTTACCAACATACAAGTTCTCTAATACTCATGCTAGCTTGCTGCTTAGTAAAAGAGACTTACGCAGTACTTCGTGTACAGTTATCCGCTTTTTCACGTCCCTGACAAGCATTTTCTTCACCAAATCTTTTGCGCTTTCGGAGATGTTAGGCCAAGGATCAGATGTGAAATCGAGTTCACCATGCAAAACCTCGTCAAATATCTCTTGTTCAGTTTCTGCACATAAAAAGAAAAGAACAAATGAAACAAACAGAAATAGACCAATTGTGCTCAAAGTGCAAAGTTCACAAGTTTCAGAAACAGAAATGGCAACTGATGATCTGTTACCTCCCCAGAAAGGAGGCACCCCACTTAAGAGAATGTAAACGATCACCCCGGCACTCCACACATCGGCTTCTGGACCATAATGCTTCCGCAAAACCTCGGGTGCAACATAGTATGGGCTTCCAACCACATCACTTAAGATTTCCCCTGAAATTTTAAAGACCTTCATCAGGAAAATGGCACCATCTGATATGCATCAAAGTGCTATGCATTCAATCCTGAATATCATATTCAAACTATACCTACAAGAATTCTAAATTTTCATTTGGTTTTAATCTTCAGTGCTTTACTAGTTGCTTTGTTTCCATCTATGTATATTGAGATGTCTGACAGAAAATGAAGATTATACACTTAAACTGTTACATCAGTTTAAAATTTCGAACGTACCAGGCTTGAAGAATATTGATAATCCGAAATCAATGGCTTGCAGGGGTGAATCCTCTTTCTCATTGACAAAAAGAAAGTTTTCAGGCTTGAGATCCCTATGCATTACTCCCATGGAGTGACAAGCTTCCACAACACCAACTATAGTTCTTGCTAGATCAGCTGCCTTTCTTTCCGAATAATGCCCCCTCTGTACGATTCTATCGAAGAGTTCTCCGCCAGCACACAGCTCCATGACGACATGAACCGCCACGGAATCCTCGTAAGCCTCTTTGATGGTGACAACATTAGGGTGGCCTGCCAGGTGATGCATTATCTGAATTTCCCTCTTGACATCATCAACATCTTCTGGAGTTACAAGTTTCCTTTTGGCAATAGATTTACAAGCATACTCCTTCCCTGTACCTTTCTCCACACAGAGGAAAGTTGTCCCAAACTGGCCTTGCCCTAACTTCTTCCCCAAGTTATAATATTCTTTCAAATTACCTGTTTTGGTTTGTAACACAGACTCCACCTTTAGCCCTGCACATGCTTGCCTCTTCACATTATGAGGCTTCCGAGGTTTTGCGGCTTCGCCCTTAGGCTCTTCCTTGTTAGCCGTCCCCGCCACCACGGCTGCTGCCGCTGCAACTGCAATCTCTGATGGTTTGGATTCAAGTCTTTGAAGGTTACACTTGGATTGTTGCCTTTGGGAAGCCTTGGATTGTTGTCTTTGCATAGACATCGACATCGAAACCGTCGATTGTTGCTTTTTCATAGACATCGAAACCGTCGATTGTTGCTTTTTCATTTTCGAATTTTGTGTTTGGATTTGGATTTCCTCTCCTGGTCCTTTCTCCTCCTTAACAATCTTCATCTCTTCAGGAGGGTCCTTTCGAACCGCAGCTTCGCCGGCGGCGGCATCGGCGTTGGCATCAGCAGTAGCAGCAGTGGCTTCGGCTTCTGTTTCGCCTTCTTTATTTTCGGCGTTTTCGCCTTCGTTTTCATTTTTCTTTTCCTCTTCGGCTGGATTGGAACCGCAAATTGAACAAACACCTCCCATCTGGAAAAAAAATCTCTCACACCTTAATCTTCTTCTCCAATCATCCAACAAATCTAAAACCAACCAATATTTGTAACAATATAAATCCTCATTTCCTCTTCTGCTTGATCCTTATAGTTGTTTTGGCTTCTGCAAAATATCATCAATACGGAGCTTTCGCCAATCTAAATCACCCTCCCTACACCTTCAACAACGGAAAACAAAAGAAAAAACGATGCAATTAAAACCAATGATCCAACCAAACAACTGCATCAAAATAACAAATTTAATATACCCTTCAATCCCAATTAAACAAAAAACCAAAAAAAAATTCAAGAACCTGATGCAAATAAACAATCACAAACCAAGACAATTATCTCAAATCACACACAAAAAAGAATGAAAAAAACATAAAAAAATGGCAAATGGAAAGGAGGGGAAGGGAAAGGAAGAAGAGGGAATTTGAGGCTTTTATTAATTTCAGTAATCAAAGAATAAACAGTGGCTTTTAATGTTTTATTTTTCCTTTTCTCCTCTCCCCTTTCAAGAGGGAAAAGAAAGAAAATGAAAAACAGAGATGAGAAGAAAAGAAAGAAGACAGGTTTTTCCGTTACAATACGATTGTATGCTCCACTTATCACAATAAGATTGTTGACTCTAAATGGACATCGACGGCTGAGATTATTCTTTAAGTTTAATTAATAAACTAATTATAGTAAATAATAAAAATAAGAAGTAAATAATATATATACATTCTCTTTATTTAAACTAAGTTATCGGAGTGGCTAAAAATAATAAAGTGGATTTAATTTATGGTTAATCATATATTAAAATATAAGAAAAATATCACTTACAACAATTGTATCAATAATGTTAGTGATTTTTTAGAATAATAAATGTTATTGGCCTAGATTAATTGGATTAAAAAAAGTGAATCTAAATATTTAATATTAAATTATAATAATTTTATCAGGTATAAATTTAGAAAAAAAAATAACCAATAATCCCAAAAGTGTGGAATTAGGTTTAATTGGTCAAAGATGGATAATGCTATTCTTATTTCTTCTTTGTCTATAAGCTATTTTAGTACTATATTTCTTTGGCGTATTTTCGTAATTTAAATAACTATTACTTGAGGTCTCGGGTTCAAGCACCATAAATATCAAGGGTGTAAACGTTCAATGTCAAATGGTTAAAAATTATCTTTAAATAGATATTGTCTTATATTTACCCCATAAAATATAAAAATAGTTATCACAATCAGGGTTTCAAATAGCGGGTCCGCGACCGCGATAGCGCCTGCGAAATAGCAGTAGCGCTACGGCCGCAATAGCGCCCACCATGACCGTAATCGCGGTAAACATGAAATGACCAAAAGTGCGATCGCGGCTGCGATTTGAAACCCTCATCACAATATGATATTATGTTTATCATTCTAGCGATTTCAACTCTTTTCTCTATCCATATTTGCTACGACTGACCACAATGCAATGTATTATAATTTATGTATGATCAAGAAAGAGTTAATATACTAACTTAAAGGTACAAAGTATAATCAACCATAAAATGAAAGGTAAAATTAAAATAAATTAAAATTAAGAAGTCTAATTTAATATTTACTCATGCACTTTTTCAATAAGAAAACAATGGGGAGGACTGGCCCGAGACGAAGCATAGTTTCATCTCTGTGTATAATTGGTTTTAGATAATGTAAAGGCATAATATCAAAATTAACTTCTAATTTTATCAAAATAGTCATTTTGATCCCTATTCTTTTTTTAAAGCATTTTGATCATCAGCATTTTATTTTAGGATAAAAAGTCCGCTATTTTAAAACGTTAATAGTGTGTTAACTAATGTTTTCTATCTATAGAGGAGTCTTTTGCCCCAAAATAAAACCCTAGAAAGTATAGGGGCAAAAAGACCCTACGAGGACTAAGTGCAATTACGTAGTATTGCTTTTGTCATATGAAAACAATATCTATGTCGCGACACAATAGAAAAAAACCAATTAATACCAAACTAAAATAGTTAAATGCAATACCAATACTAATAAGTACAAAAAACCTAGTCTCCGACGAAGATGATAAATACTTGATGCGTTGTATAATGTCAATGTATTGGGGTGTTCAATACTGTAGAGTGTGAGAAGTGTGTTCCTCACCTAGTGCTACATATATTTGATTCTATATATGTATGTTGTATGCTTGAATACTATGATATGATATTTTAAATATCGTGTTTATTTTCTATTGGATCATCTTAGTGCATGGTTGTAAATTATATATGTGTTGTATGATAAGCATGAGTAAGGAATATTGATGTATGCATTTATCATTTATCGTAATCATAATGTAATTATATATGATTTACTGATGTATGTTGATATGTCATGTTCACTCATAATGTACGATGCATTAGATTGAGTTTATGAAGTGGTAAGATAACCAAATAACATGTTGGTTCATCCTTATTGAATGATAAGGTCTAATATTGAATAACAGTATAATTCATCCTTGGATGGTAATGTCTAATTTTTCTTTTACATTTTTATCTTTAATATTTGAAAAGGTAAATTATGATCAATAACGTTATTGGGTTATCACATGATTATCACTCATCCATCGACAAATCGGGTTATCATATGATTATCACTCCATCAACCAATGACGGATTCAAAAATATTTTTCAGAGTGGACACATATGTATTAATAATAATATCAAATTTTTTGTATGAGACAGACACCAATAAAATTTCATGTAGACACCACCAGTAAAATGAACAACAAATATAAAGAAATTCAGATTTCAAGGTGGACACCATCAATAAAATAAACAATAAATATAAAAAAAAATAGGATTTCAGGATATACAATAAATACATCTACATTTAAGAACCTAAAAAAATTAAGAATTTTTTATGGTTTCAAAATTCTTTTAAAACTATAATTTAAAAATTATAAAATTACCAAATTGATATCTTAATTATAATTTAAAAATTATATCACATTAACAATTCTATTATTTTTTTTAACGACAAATGACCAAATTAAACCAAAACTAAATGTTAAGTACAATTTTGAAAAAAATAGTTGAGTGACTAAAACAGAACAAAAGTGATAGTTAAGATATTAAACGTTTAGTTTACCCAAAAAATTATTATATCCTACATCACATCTAGTAATAATATAATAAAGACGAGAAAACCGCTTCGTTCAACAATGCAATTTACCATAACCAACATAACAGTTCAAACGTTTCGTAATAACAAGACAGCAATCAAAGTCAGACGTGCATGATAAGAACATTCATACAGCATATACATGGATTTTGTTCTAAAGGCATTGTTCTTGTTCCAAATTCTAGTGTTCAAATATCAGCCACAGATGATGCGAACCCGATGTTAAAATCGAACCCGATGCATGTCAACTCATGTTTGTTTGCGTCCAACATCTTCATTTTCAGAGAGTATGAGCCCTGCACAACGTTCAAATTTATCAGATCAAAGGTTGATTATGGTGAGAAGTCCCTTATCAGATTACATCTCATTGACTTCCATATCAGAGATGGACCGAGGGAGTATTCGTAAGCGGTCAAAAAATAGTTTAGTTTTTTTTTATATTTTCTAAAATAACTTTATGAAAGTTTACCCTCATTGCATAAAATTTTACATTCGTCTCTATTTTATAGGTAGCCAATTGAAATTAAAATTGTTTGATTTTGTTGGTGATCGAATCACATGAACAAAAGCAAATTTTAGACTTCTCGACTAGCAGTTGTTTGAAGAGAAATAAAATAAATATGAAGATGGTGAGGAACCTTTTAGTCATAGTCTCATATATGAAAATCTTGAAAAATAGAACTTTTATCATATTATGATGAACAAAGAACAGTAAAGAAAGAATGGGGGGGACTTATTTCCAAGCTTAATAATAAGAAGAGCAAATGAAGGGAAAGCTCCATCACATGACATAACACCTATCTTCCTATGTTTTAATGTAGCAATTATGAAGTACTAGTCCAAAATTTTCATGAAATATATCAAAAGAGAAGGAAAGGACCATCCATATTGACTTTGTTCAATTTTCATTTTGATCTCCAATCCTTTTAATTGCTTTGTTGCTAAATCCGTTGAGTGAACTGAGTGGTTAAAGGAAGTGTTGTTCTCTCTTGAGGTCTTGAGTTCGAACAATTGCGTTTGTAAGGTGTGTGTGTTGTTAATGATTAAAAAAGATTATTAATAGATACTATCTTATAATCACCCCAAAACTAGACAAAAAAAATTCAAACAAGGCATTTTAACTCTAATGCATATGCAAGAACATTGGTGCAAACATTAAAGAAGAAAAATCCAACTTGCCAGCAACGATTAATCAGAACTTAAAGTTTAAGACTTACAGGAGGGGTATATCCAGGCAAAACTTGAGAGTGAGAAACCACAAAATCACCAGTGGACACAGGGCAAGATGTCTCATCACAAAGGTCATGAGTCTCACTGTGAATGTGCCATCCAAAATACGAAACCTCGATCACCAATTTCCCCCCATTTATCGCTGCACCTGTACATCATTACAGAAAACAAAGCTCACCTTCAATTAAAAGCTAAAAACACTACAGATTTAGGTTACACATGACAAACACCATCATCAGTATGTGTCTAACACAAATATACACAAGTTTCCAAAGTTCTTCCATACATCTGGAGGATCATACCGCCATACCCTGAGATAGACCGAGTGAAGGCTGGTGGCCGTCAGACAAATTTTCATATAATTTAAGTATTTTCTTATATTTTTTTTATTGATAATCTGATTTTGTCTCTAAAATTGTATATATTCTAGCATAAAATCCTGCTTCCGTGCCCTAACTATACCCATATTCTGCAAGTGCCAAACTTATATGGTTTCTTCTAGCATAAAATAACATCTATCATTAATGTACCAAAAAAAAATAACATCTATCATCAATTAACAAAGAGACTATAGAAAAACATTGATTTTTACCTGTTGTTGCAGCGATACTGAAGGTAGCGGCCT